GAGAGGAAGAGGAGGCAGAGGTAAAGGGAGGGTGTGTGGGGCATGAGAAGCCAGAACTAACACGTGATAAGGGCAGAGTGGTATGTATAGATGTATGACAAGAAGGGGAGTGACTCAGGTGTAGTGAACTTCAGCTAAAGATTTTATCTCCATTTCACGAGCGTGACCACACCATCAGTTTGAAGCTCGATTGTTTAATGGATGCAAATGAGCGTTATGTTGGTAATGACTGAGCTGAGCTGTTGTGTTGTGGGGAAAGGCTTAGTCAGGGATCAGCAGAGGCTCCTGGGCTGGCAGACCCCCCAAAAAAGGCCTCCCATAAGAATGAAACGGTTATAACGTAGGTCTTGAGGGTTGGAGAAGCTGATACAGGTGGTGCAGAACCCCTCGACTGGAAGCTGTGTCAATATGGAAGGAGTGGCCAGAGAGCAGGCCAGGATTCCAGATGGACTTCCTCAAGGTGTACGAGGATTCAGGATAAGGTTTCACCTGCTGGTCTCTGTAATAAACTCAGCGTCAGAAGGTGAAGCACCTCTATGCTGCAGAGGCATCGTGGGTATTTTCAGGTCCAGACTGAGGTGAGCAATTTGAGATGAAGCTGGGTAATTTAGCTACGTTGATTAATGGAAAGGAGGAGCAGAATATATTATGGGGGGAGTGAAGGGGGTCAGCGATATTGTTGCAGTAGCCGGGGAAGTGTTCAGCATGCAGGACGAACAGGTTGAAGACTGAGTGCCACGTGAGGCGCCAAACAAAAGGCATGTCTGCAGGAGAGTAGCTTCAAATTTTGTTAGAGAGACGAGGAGGGTGAGGCCATCAGACTGAACAAGGACTGCTTTTTTACTTGACCATTTGCAGCTCTATGACAGGGTAGCGATAACAATAGGGTAGATTTTAAATCTAGGTTTTTGAAGGAACTGTGTGAACTCCAGTGGCTATGACATGGGGACCATTGCTGACCAAGAAACCCCCAGAACCAGTAAAAGGAGCACGTCTGTGAACTGCTGCTCGGGATCTTGTTCACGAGTGATGGAAGATAGGATCATGAGATGGACAGGACCATCGTGATGAGTAGGAAACTGAGCTGGAAGGTGAAGCTTTCGATTTACCGGTCAATCTATATTCCAACCCTAACCTATGGTAGTGAGGTAGTGACAGATGAATGAAACTGTGGGTATAAACGGGCAAAAATGAGTTTCTTCTGTAGGTTGGCTGGGCATTTAAGATATGATGAGGAGCTTGTCATCCGAAGGAAGCAGTTGTTGCTCATACGCAGTGAAGGGAGCCAGTTGAGGTGGTTTGGACTTCTGATTTGGACGCGTCCTGGGTGTTGGAGGTATGTGCCACTGGCTGATTGATGTGGTGGAGCTGGGAATGAGGGAAGGGAGCAAAATTGGCATCTTATAGGGGATAACACTGTTGTGGTTGAAAGCTCCGGGAGTTTGTCAGAAGTTGAAATAGTTGAACTTTGTTGTCAGCGTGGTAGCAGGTGAAGCTTTATGAAGACCAACGACGATCCACTTGGAGATTTTGTAATAAGGGCTATCACTAGGAGATCTGTCAGAAATGTCTGAGCGTTTCCAGGTGTGTTAAGAGTTGGCTTGTCTGGATTCTTGCCTGTCAATTTTTTTTTAATTGGGCGGAGCTACAGGTAGCGTGGTGACGTCACGCCCCGGCGCACAGCTGGACGTCTGCTGGAGAAGATTGTTGTGGTTGATCACGTGATCGGAGCTCCAGCAGGTGGTTAGAAGTTGGAAAGTTTACCTTTGCTGTCAGCGCGGTGGCAGGTGAAGCCTTTCTCTTAGTACTCACTAAAGACCCACAACGGTCTGCTCGGAGGTTCCGTCTGTCGGTACTGAAGAAGAAGCGCAAATCGTTTCCAGACGCGGCGGCTTCTCTGGAGGTTCACCTGCTTCGGACATGAAGCCAGTGGATGTTGAGGAGGGAGTGATAACGTTTGGTCTTTCCTGAGAAGAACCACCGCGGTTGAAGCTGCGCGATGAGGGCGAGCGATCAGAGGAGGAGAGTCCGGTTCGGCTGGAGGAGGAGTTCTGGTCGGAGGTGTCTTCAGGACCTGCGGTTAATGGTGGAGCGACGCTGATCTTCTCGGTGTGGATGTATAAGGCTGATCGGCGTGGATGAGGTCTGGAGCCGGGTTCCCACAGCGGAGGGCTGATGGATGAGCGATCCGTGGTGAGTCAAGAGTTTTCTAAAAACTTGTGTTGCTCAGTACAGGAGAGGAGTGGTGTGTGTGGAGATGTACAACAGGAAGTGGGGTGATGGAGGTGTGGTCCTGCTCATGATCTTCAACTAAACATTTAATCTGCATTAAGATGGAACAACCAGTCAGATTGTTGCCAACAGTGGGGCCCAAAGGTCTCAAGACAAACTCAAATCTTTCATTTTACATGTTCACCTGTTAATAATCATAAAGTTAGATGTGAAGATGAACAGATAACTCCATCTTCTCAAACCTTCAGAAAACCCACGTCTCCATCGTCTACCTGAGACAACATGTCATTTCTACTGAGTCAAATCCACTCAGCTTCACTTACATTAATATTATCTCAAGCAAACAACCAAAAAATAAGTTTTCTGAAAATCTACAAAAATGCAGTTTTCTGTTTTTGCAAATTAACTCTTCTACAAGATTTCAGATTCTGCACTATTTCTAGGTCCTACATCAAATTTAAGCAGATTAGTGGCCAAGTTAACCTCTTTGTACAAAAGGTCAGATTTCCTTCTCCAGTGTTCAGACTTGATGGACTCATTAGAAGCTCGTTGGAATAAATCAACCTGCAGCCATTGTTCACCTGCTAAAAATACGCCTGAGCTTCGAGTCTCCCGCGGAGCACCGCTCGCTAAGTAGCATTGTGACGAGAGGGAACGTGGAATGCTTAAACGTGTCAAAAGTCAAATTGTTATTCAAGGTTTCTAAGGAGGCAGTGGCATGGCTTGGTTTGCGGAAACTGGATCAGGCAGACTGAAAGTGACCACGCCATCGGAAGATTAATGCATCAGATGTGGTTCACTGAGGCTTCGTCGCTGATAAAGCATGAGAAGTGTCAGAACAAAGTTGTCTAGTGGCAGCCTGGGAGGACGAGTCGCAGTCTCTAAACCGCTCCTCTGGAGGGGAAACAAAGCCAGATGCTCAGGGTGGGCTCACATATAGCAGCATTTCACAGAGGATGACTATAAAAAGATGCTAATTACGGATTAAAGCAAACGGGGACATAATAAATACCAGCACATTATATATGTTTTGTCAGAGTTTACCTTCAAAAAGTTAAGCTGACGTCACTTGTAATGAAAGATGTTGTAATAAATATAAATGCAGTTTAGAAGCATACTCACTCGTGGTCTCACACTTTTGGACCCCAGTATACATCATTTAAAAATAACAGCCACCAGGATTTATGTAACCACTCCCCCGAGCTAAATACACAGCACAATGTACTCTCAGTTTCAGCTTTGTCTCTTTCTTTTATATCGAACTAGCAACACATAATATAGGAGTGAGGGAAAAAAAAGTGTACTGCATCAATATGACGAGAAAAAGTATTACTTTTTTTGCTCGCCAAAGTACAAAACTGAGCTTACTGTCCATTAATTACACCTCATAACCATAACCTTATACTTGATCTTGCTGCTTAATAACACATTTCATACATTTTGTGGCTCAGACTATAAAGTCCTGGGTATTACAAGGACAATGCATGATGACTATTGCTAATTGATGGGAAAATGGTGCTTTAATGCTTCTCCTTTGTCTCCTGAACTGACGGGAAACTGAGAAGGAATTTTACTAAAATTCACAGAAATTACCTCGGAAATAACTTCTGTTGTCAAACATGCAGTGCTACCATCTCAAACATGCCAATTACAGTTTATTTGCTCAAGCGTCGAAGTAATAAATATGCAAAACTTTATTGTCTAATAATAATTAGTAATGAATACAGTGTGCAGTACAACCTCTTTAATGTGGATCCAAAATTGAGTTTACGTATGTAAATGAAAATCCACCCATCCGTTGTCTGTACACTGCTTTATCCTCCAGCAATATTGCAAATGAAGCTTATATGAATGCAGTTTCAATGCATAGAAGTTTAACGTGCATGCTTTACTCTAAAATAGAGTTTCTTTGCTCTGTAGTAAATGTACACAGAAATCATGGATCCAGTCTTGACACTGTCGGAATAATGTGTGTTCATATTTTAAACAGCAGTGAAACTTATTTTGCAATGAAAATTTCAAGAAATAAAAGTATGTACCTCCTGCTCTTACCAATGAAGAGACGTTAATCCAGACGAAAAGCAGACAAGAGAAAGAAAGCACTTTTTAGAATCTCGCATATCATCATTTCCACCATCATTCAATGCAATCAGTTACTTTGTTAGTCGTCGTTTGGGGTTATATTGAGAAGCAGATGCGCTCATTTTCGCCATTTACCGTGTTCATATCGATGCCGTTGGTGTAGGTCCAGGAGTGCTGGAAGTACTCCTCCAGCCGTTGCCTCAGTGGGTTGGGAATCTGGTGAAAGCGGATGAACTCTTTGACCCGTAACATTTGAGCGTGATAGCGGGCCGTGCCTGAGTACAACCTCTGGATGATGGCAGAGACATTTCCAAAGATGCTGGCGTACATGAGAGCTGAAATAAAGACAGGAATCAGTGAAAGTGAGTGACAAATAGTTAGATCAACAGAATAAAGTTATGCTAAATGATAACACATTCAGTAAACGGACTGTAACATACTCACAGCCGATCAACATGACACAGATGGAAAAGATTTTCTCTGAGTTGGTGTTTGGGGAAACGTTTCCGAAGCCCACGCTGGTCAGACTGCTGAAGGTGAAGTAAAGCGCTGTGACGTACTTGTCCTTGATGGAGGGCCCGGAGCTGGGATCGCTGTAGTTGTATCTCTTCCCTATGGACACGCCCAGATTGTCTAGCCAGCCAATCTTGTGCTCCAAGTAGGGCTTCTCCACATTGCCAATGGCGTACCATATACAGGCTAGCCAGTGGGCAATGAGGGCGAAGATGCACATGAGCAACATGAGGACCGCGGCTCCGTATTCAGAGTAGCGGTCCAGCTTCCTGGCTACACGCACCAATCGCAGGAGCCTCGCTGTCTTTAGCAGGCCAATCAGAGTGGTAGTCTGGACAAAAAAGCACAGCAAAGAAATGTATTTGTGGTAGCAGTAGTGCTCTACAAACGCTCTCTTCATTTGGTCACCAGCAAATCGAAAGCTGTGACAAATCAAGAGAGACACTTTGCCAACTAAAGGCAATTTGTTTACTTAACAGAGACAAGAAGCAAAACTCTATTGTGGCAACTCTCGACATGTTTCTTGGTCAAAGGCGAATTAACAGGCCTCAGAAAAGTCCTAATTTATTTAACCTTAAAATCAAGAGTGACATTCACTTAATGGGTCTCTGGGAGTTGTGCATCGGCTTTTGTGTCATCAAGAACTCTTTTAGCAACTATAACCGCCACTCACAGTAGTATTTATTTGCCATACAATACCAGAATAGCCTTTGAAAATTAAGCTCATATTTCCATATTTACTTTTGTATTTAAGAGTAGTTTTGCGGGACAAAATCTGATACGTTCTTGAATTTGAAGAATGAATCTGCCTTCAACATATGGTGGCAGAATCTTTGCTTGCCATGTATTCGGGTCTGTATAATGGGCTAAAATATCAGTTACACAATTACTGTGTCCATTATTCAAACATTTTCAGTCACAGCACAACCACAGAAATGACCTGACGGGGTTTACAAAGCCAATTAGGCCCTCAAAATCCGGATAGAGTAACTCTACTGCTTTGAACAAAAGCATCCTGCAATATTGTTATTCTGTCTCTAACCAGTCTCAAGCTCGCACCACAAACCATTTTTATTCTTTATTACTGACTTTCACTGTCTTTTTTGACAAGCAGAAATCTGTGCAGTTGACTTTATCTGAAATGTGCTTCACAGCCATTTTATAGCATGATGATGACATGTAACCTCACTTTGAACTTTATCATTTTCACCCATTTTTGGAACACAATATAGGATTTTGAATGTTGACAAAAACTGACTTTGCAAATGTTACCAAGGAAGGAAATGGACTCTGCACATTTGTTAGGGTTTTGTCAAGGTTATGCGTAATGTGTTTTGGTGACTTTAGTTACAAGAAAACACCAAAGGGCATCGTTTTGTGTTTTCTCCATCTAGTGGCTGTTTTAAAAAGACGTCCTTCTTTCACGTTAATGCATTGACGCTGACACTAAACTTTCATGATCTGGCTGGTTATGACTGTGAACCGTAATTATTATCTAAAATGTTAGAATTATTTGTAAACTTTTGTTCAGGTTAACTTTATCTGGCTAAAGTTTGGTTTATTGGTGGCAATAAAAGTAAACATCTTGTCCAAGTTTAGCTGCTGCACCATTTTAAACAGTGTTACTAAAACAGTGTTTGAATAATGGCCGAGTTCCAAATACTAACTTTGTGTGTAGTTTTTCTTGTCAGTCTGTTGCCTGTTCAGGTAAAATTTAAAGGCCTAAACTGCTGAATTTGATAGTAAATCAGCGTTTGCGTGCTTCCCAACTGGCCTCATCAGAGGAATGTTTTACTGACAGCTATTATTCATGTCATAAAACCAAAACATTAATCCTAAACTTAAAAATCTGCAGTCTAATAAAAGATAAACTGAATGAAATTAAACTCTTAAATGTACCTACACAGGCAATTACGTAACACTGCCGCAAAGCACAACAACCCCCGCTACTTTATCTCTAATGGGAACAGCATTTGGGTGCGAGTTGGGACAAAGCACTCAACTCCTTTACCCCCATAACAGCTTGAGATAAACATTCTGTGTTCTCTGTTTCCGTGATTATCGCTCACAAAACACTGAGTAATGCCAGTTTTGAATGACGCCCTTTACAATATGTTCAATCTTACGGTAAGTTGTTCTGAACGCAGCGAGACACTAAAATCTATTTCCCATATATTCCCTACTCTAATCAAAAGGTTTACTTAAGCGCTTGTAGGTTAAAACCGTCTTATTAAGCTGCTAAATTAAATGAGCCTTGTGAAAACCATCTGCCACGGTCTCAGTCGCTTTTATTTTCTGAATGAGACCGCGGTTGGGTGGGACTCTGTGCGTTCAGTCTCAAAATTATAAACGCCAAGCTGGAAAAGCTATAAATAGAAGTCATGTAACGTCATGTCATCGCAGTGTATGTCCGCCTATTTATAGACGTGGGCGCGAAAAGACTCCTCTTTGGTTCACATCTCTGGTGAAAATGAAGTAAACACTGTTAATTAGTGATGTGGAAGCAAATGTTTTAAATTAATTTACAAATTTCCCTGGACTGTTCAGTTTCTCACTCTGTTGTGAGAAAAACAGATGTCCACTTCCTTTTTGATTTGTTGTCATTCACTGAATTGACTCAGCAGCAGCAGCAGCAGCAGCAGCAGTGATGGAAAAGATGATTATGGTTTATAATCAGGAGCTTTTCTGGTGTAATGGAGTGCCTACAAAGCACGATAAAGCCCTGAAGTGGATCCAGAGCCTTAGGGGACATATCCTACCAACAAACAAGCCAGCAGGCCTGGCAGCCAGCCTACCAATGGCCATCTCACATCTGCATGTAAGCTGTGCACACAGCCCTGTTGGCCTGCTCCTCACATAAATGCACCATTGATTGCCATTTGGTAAGCCATTAATCCGTGTAAATGGATTCTAGAATGAGGACCATTCAAAAAAAAAAAAAAAAAAAAAAAAAAAAAAAAAAAAAAAAAAAAAAAACATGCAATTTAAAGTAATCCTTTCAGAGCCGAGACAGAAAGATTCAGGCTTTAAGTAGTGGCCCAGGGGCACAAGTCTGGACTTGGATAACAGTGCAAGCATGCAGAGGGTGATGTGCAGTAAAGCTTCCTGGGAGAAAAAAATGTAAAAAAAATAATATGTGCATCGAAGACAACTTACCTCATCTGATCCTGAGCCGAAGATAAGAAGGTCAAAGGGGATCGCTGCCACCATGTCTATAAGGAACCAGCCTTTAAAATAGTGGATTGCTATCTTTGCGGGGTGACTGACCACTTCCTCATTCTGGTTTACGTAAGTGGTCCTGAAGTTTATGAGGATGTCAATGATGAACATGATGTCCACCATTAAATCCACTACATTAAGGGGGCTGCACGAGTATCCGCATTCGCGCCTCCTCTGCTCCTCTTGGTCATTGAGAAGGAAAGCTGCAGAGTAAGGAGTGAGGATGGCCGTGTAGATGACCAGCAGCAGGATCAGCCAGTCCCACACAGCTTTGAAGGGGCTGTAGTGGAGGATGGTGAACTTGTCAATGCGAGCCGTCTGGAGTTTGTACTCGGGCAGCACGTCAGCTCCGAGCGACAGGACCTGGAGGAGCGGGAAGATCGGGTCAGAGCTCGGCTCGGAAAACCTTGGAAATTTCACATATTTTCATTTTGGGTTAACCTGAGTTGCTGGTGAGTTGATGAGGGTGTCATTAAAACTTTATTTTCTGTCACATCTTTTAACTGATGCTTCCTTGGATGGTTCCTCTTCTGACAGTTTGGTTAGAGACTGTTTCAAGTCCAAAACACAATTTAACACACCTCAGAGACTTCAAGGCCTGAATTGACAGCAATTGTGACACCCAGTTTGTCCTCTACAGTCAAAGCGTGTTAGGTAAAGGCAGCCACTCTGGTATGACAAGTAGACGTCGTGGCACCGTGAATAATGTGACTGCCCCTGACTTGTTCTACGCTGGCAAGAGGTACATTGTGTTGCTTTTAGAGAAAAATCCATAAGCACTTTACTCTGCAGGTAATAAAGTGAAGGAGAGCTGTGTCGAATTGTGCTGAAACATACGATCTTTTCTTTTTACGTTTTGATAAGCAAACACATGTTCCTATATGAAGGAACTTTGGCTGGACGGTAAATTATTCATCGTGCTCACGAAGGCCGAGCCGTCCCGTGTTTTTTTTTTTTTTGGCTTAATAACCTGTGGCAGACAAAGACAAAGGGGCTGTCTTATGGCAGAAAATAGTGTAGGAGTGAGGATGAGGAAGGGGGGGCAACGTTTTTTTCTATTCTTTCCAGCACATTCCCCTATCTTCAACACATGAATTATAGATTTCCCCATGCTAGCAGTCAGGAAGTAGATGCAGCGTTCACATCTCGGCAGTGTCTCCAAACTCCAAACTAAAGTCATCGGGGAGGGAGAGCAGTTAATCATGATCATGGTTCTTCTTCATTTATGAATGAGAAAGCTGTGTTGAAAGAAGTTGAAATATAAGGTTTCTGAGCTCCTCTTTTGCTTGGTTTGTTCCTGACATGGCCTGGCCGTGTTAATGTGAGCAACACACATTGCTTTACTGGTTGCTTTCCCAGTGAATAAAAGCATTTGTGCTTTCTGAATAATGCACAGCTTTGGTTAAACGTGGGTATTTCTTTGCTTAGAATCGAAATTGTGATGAATTTCCGTGCACCTACTTATCCCTGGCATCAGCTGTGGCGCTCCTCTCATCAAACGACAGCACAATGTATCCCCTGTTTAGCATATGACAGGGAGCGCTGGACCTGCTGCATTGTCCTTGGCAAGAAACTGAATCCCTGCCGTCTGCTGAAGTGTTATGAACCTGCACCTGTGCTTTGTGGCTTCCACATAGGACCATATTCTTTCTCCCTTTCTGAAACAATTACCTTCAATTGGTGTTGATACAATTTTATTTTTTCCCCCCTCTTCAACAATATACTGCAAGAAGAACGCCTTGTTCTTAATCTCACCGCTCCACTGTTGATGTGAATGGGCAGCAGTCAGGCCATATGTTACTTCTGTAACACATGGGATCACCAGCTGCTTTTTTCATCTGCCAGCAAAATAAAAAAAAAACAAAAAACTCACCGACGAAGTGCAGCATGTGCCGGGTATCAGTTTTATCACGCTATCCCACAAAACCTCCTCAGAGGCACCCGATTCAATAACGACACTACAAATTGTTACAGCACGTTATCCCTTTGCATGCTTCCCAAATGCTGCCAGCTGTGTTCTTTGCAATACATGACAAAGCAATTAGGATCTAAGTTCAGATCTCATGAAGGTGGCTGCTGAGAACTCTGGCTCGGCGCCACAGTAAGGCCCGTGTGATTTAAACAAAACTTTCCCACTCACCTGTGTGACTTTTTCCGTGACATTGTGAGTTCTTTCCTTGACTTTCGGCGCTATGATGGTTTTCTCAGACGTCGGCGGAGAATGGGTCTTCTTATCGGTGCCCTCCGAGAAGTTGAGTGCAATCAGGGGGATCTTGTTGATTGTGCTATACTTGTTGATATTCGAATCAGAGGTAGAGCCAAGCAGGCTGGACTTCACGTGGTTGAAAGGGCCTGATGGTGCAGAACAACAATAACATTAGTGCCCTCGGGTAACTTCTCCTGTTTCACCTGACTGTACTTTATAAATTGCAAATCATTAAATATGTGAAAATTATTCACACGCAGATGTAAAAAATTAATTTGGTGAGCAGAGCTTAAGGAAAGTATCATTTCAGTGAATGAATGATGAATCAGTTTTGCAAAGTACGGCCTTAAACCTCTTTGTTTTAGGCATTAGGGTGACATAACGGTGATACATGGAGCTCTGTATACTGTAAATCTATTTATAACCAGCAGCAGCAGTAGCAGCCTCCTATACTTACAGTACCACTGACTAATGTACTCTGGCATCCGTGGAGAGTAGAGGAACTACAGGGAATTTTAGCTCTGTTTTTTTTTCTCTCTCTGCAAATGCACCACAACACGACTAGTCTCAGGAGCTGCTGTTGGTTGTGAATTAAAACCAGTTATAAATTCAAGCAAACCTGTGATTTATTTTTATATTTCACATTCCTAAAAGCAAAAGTTTTGACCCTTTTTTTCCTTTTGACACTCACTGACATGCATCAACACACATGGAAACACCGACATGAGCCACGATGAAAGGGTTAACGGAAGAGAAAAAGCACATCTCATCACTAAAATCATCTCATGAGAAATTTCATGCGTGGGCTGCTAAGTACAGAGCAAGTGTTCCTGTAACCTAAAACTATGCTGGCAATTATTTTTAGGGAATTTTCTCACACACGCTGCACTCTGTGAGCAATAGCTAGTGAGCGGAGGTATTAAAAACTTGCAAGCATATTTGCATGCAGGTTCATTTGAGGGCAACGCTTTGATTAGCAACTTTTATGAGAGCAGAGATGATGCGCATGTGATTACATTCTATGATTTTTATAGCCTCCTGATGTGACAAAATGACTGCACTGGTCCAAGTATACACTCATTTCACATAATTAAGTGCAGTAAGCTCACTCAACCTATCCAACCAAAGTGGCTCTGTGAAGACCATTAATGCTGATTGCGTGCTTGACAGTCATGCTCCAAAACAGCACTGAGCAATAAAATCATGGGCAGGAATACGTGATTACCTCTCACATGGCTACCATTGTCTAAAGGCAGCATTTAGTGGACAGAGCAAATGGAGAAGAAACATTTTCATTAACCTCCTTTCAGAGAAGATAAGGGAAAGTATTTGTTGCAAGGCTCGTGTATGACTTCTTAAAGCTTTGAAGTCTTGTGATTGGCTTAGATTATTTTGCTAATCATCGGACATACCTTCACTTGTGTGCCGATCCCTGAAAAAGCTTTTGGAGTTGGAGCTGTAGCCCTCGATTTCATGGACGGACGAGGCTCTCCTCATGCTACTGATGCTGTCTCTGGGGAAGGTGTTGGACAGGGAGGTAGAGGACTGGTGTGGCTCCGTGTGGTACAGCTTCTCCCAGGGGAGCTTAGGCGACGAGTGGTCAACCGGTTCGGGGCCGACGCTGCCCTGGGAGGAGTGGTGGCTGGAGCCTATGAGGGCGTGCGTGTCGTTGGCCTCGATGGGACTGCAGATGCTCTTGGTGGGCGACGGGAAACTCTCAAGGGCCACCGAGTCCTCGTCCTCTTTGGGCGAGTCCACCATCACGGCGTCTGGGTCCTCTTGCGGAAGAGATTGCTTGTTGGTGTTCATTAGGCTCAAAGCGGCCTGGCGGAAGCGGAAGAATCTGCTCCTCCCTGAAGAATTGAGAGGAAATTAAGGGAAGCCTTGTTAAGTTTTCAATGTGGAGCGCTGAAATGGACAGCTCTCTCCCCAAAAAAAGCATCGCATCATTTTTCTCACAAAATGCACAATTACATTCATGGTTGGATAACAGCCTTCTTCTCCCCCAAAAAACATGAAAAATGAAACGAAACAACTATAAGCCTGCCAGTAAGAAGAAATAAAATATGCAAATCACATACTCCCTCTCCAACAATCCAAAGTCATGACAGTCCAGCCATGATATACTGTGTTTATGTGTTGGAACGGTAATTTATACCTCATGGTTCTGCTTTTAATGTGTCAGCGCCCTCCTCTCAGCACCAACACTGATAATAAAGTAGTGCTCGTAACAAGTACATGAAATCCTAACACTTGAGAGGAGCAGGTGCTGAAACATATCTGCTAATTAATAATGAAAATAATGGGTTTAGGCCCTGCTTTCTTAGACGTGTGGTGCTGTGTGTACTTTTTAAAAATTAAAAGCTTGTAGGATTCTTTTTTCCATACAGAATTTCCAAGCTGTCGGGAGATAAACACCACAAAGACGTTTCTATAGTTTCTGTAATATGGTTTTATTGCACTAATCTTTGCAAATACAGAACAAGTGGAAGAGATTTATCCTTTCAGCGCTCGTACACGCGACAGCCTTATTGCGCCTCATTGATTCGAGTCATTTTTACCGTTCACATTTTCAGAATTGTCGCAAATGTTAACGACCTCTTGGGGACGGAACGAAAGTTTTGACTCATTAACAATAGAAGGAGGGTGAAAGTGAGCCCTGTCTCCCTCATGAGGCACCCATCCCTCAGCACCCTCCTCACATAACATCACTGCCATCTGTTTCCATTCCCTCGCCAAATGTGCTGATGTTACAACTGCGGCCGCTTACAATGGGAGGCACGACACTCGACAAGGTTCCTGCAGAGGAACCTAATAACAACGTGAGCCAGGAGATATGGACAACCTTTCTGTCTGTTCTCTGCAGGGAGCCTCTGTCATCTGCTCCGTTAAAGGCTCCTCGCCGCCGCTGTGGCCGAATGCTTACATAACGGCAGCTCATATAAATTTAAATCTGACATTCTAAAACGACAGCAGCACACACAGTCCTCTTAAATATTATATAGTGCTGGGAAGGAATGAACCAAAATATATGAGTTTAGCAGCATGCCGTACCATTCAAACTGACATTACAGATATTTTGCTGTGCCGATTTCACTTTTTAAGAGTGCTTAAAAGAGAATAGCCAAGATAGGAGATTTATTTTTAGCCACACTAGCAGAAGGGCTCCAGAGGTGGTAACGTCCTTCTGTTGGCGTGTCAGCTCAAAGGTCCAGGCGATGATATTTCAACAGCTCTTAATGACTTCATGGTCCCCAGAGGATGAAACCCATTGATTTTGATGGTCTTGAACGTGATACAGTTCAGCAATGAAACAATAAATAACCAGCAGAAGCTAAAGCCTTTTTAATAAAGTCTTTATTTATTCAGCATTTTTACAGGATGATAGTGTTCTCAACATGTACAAAATATTTAAATATTTAAAAAAAAAAAAAAAAAAACATGTCGAAAAACTAAATCACAAGAGGAAAAAAAATGAATAATTTAGTTAATAAAAATGCCTTAACATTTATAAAACGACACCTAGAGATCAAATACAGTATATAACACCAGAACAGCACGTCAAATTAAATCGACATAAAAACAGCAGTTATTGCGATTCCTTGATGCAATTTCGTACTTTAAAAAACACAATATTACGAGCCTTAAAGTCTAGTTCAGTCAATGTTTAAAAACAGAAATGGCTCATTATTGGGGTTAATAAATACAGTAACTATTCAGATCTTTTATTTATATGACTAAACTTTTAAACAGACTCTTCTTGGTGACACAGCTTGGATCAGATGACGTTATTTATTAGCATGACAGGAATAAAAGAGGCATTACTTCTATACTATCTGTAGTTTATTGTGTTGTGTTGTATTGTTTATGTGCAATTTCACATTACAGTCTTCGTCACCAGCGTTTTGCAGCTGTAGCCTGTGGTTGATATCGTTTTTGTATTGGACGAAGACAGTCCAACCTTAACAAACTGGAGAGAAGGAGAATGGTTAGTTGGAGTAACTAAAGCAGCTGAACAAAAACTAACATCTGTCTGATATGTGGTGCCATCAGATTGCAGTTTATGTATTACACAGAATGAAAACAACCGTAGAGCGAATTTTGTAGCAGTTACTTGTATTAAGCAGCTCTTGAAACACTTATTTTCCCTTAAAATTCATTTCGCTGTTACCTAAATAAGGGGCATATTATGCATGAAGCCCAGTGGTCTGAAAGGCAGCTGCTCAGCATCCTTAAATGTACAGACTGGGACATGAATCTTGTAAAGGGGCAGAAAGTTTTCCTTAAACTGAAAGGTTGACTTAAAATATATATATTTTTTTATAAAGAAGTTTGTTTCTCTAAAGGGACTTTAAATCAAGCAACCCAAATACATTTTTCATGTTTTTTTTGGCAGGAAATCACACATTTGTATCTCGCTGAGTCAGTATAAAAGTATCACCACTGACATAAAACCAAAGCTGATATTTATAAGAAGGCTGAGCTGATGATTATAGAAAACCATGAAATATCCTACCATATTCATAAGGAATTATTAATTACAAGTTTGCTGCTCAGTTTCCGTCAGTTAAACAAAGATTGAGGTGAAATAAGAACAACTACGAGTCAGTGTTCAGCTTCAGTCACGAGTGTTGGATCCTTGCTTGTGTTGTATCTGCTCTCAGATGTACTTTGGATGAAAGCGTCTGCAAAATTAAATTGTAGAAACCAAGCAGAAATCTTCCTCTAGTCATGCCTTGGGTCTATATTCTCAACCTATTATCACTGTAGAAAACATACCAAGAACGATCTCTGTCAGCATCATGTGAAGCAGAACAGGTCTGTAGCTGATTGAGATGCATCCCCCCCCGAGTTGTCACTAAGAACAAGAAAGTGTTCAGCCCTTTCTCAGATCTTTGCTTCCTGAGCGTTACAGATTTGAAAGTTCTACGGCTGGTTTCATTTGGTTCAGCTCCAGTCCTCCATTACCAACTGTCTGGACATCTCACATCATGTGGGACTGCTCTGCCTACTGTCCCCTGAGTCAAGACTGAACATGGAGCAGCAGCATTCAGTTTTCATGCTCCACATGTCTGGAACAAACTGTCAGAAAACTTGAGGTTCGCTCTGAATGTCGGCTCTGTTCAATCATGACTTTTCTGTTTGCCGCTGCATTTTATTTTGGGACCATGTATTCATATCGTGCACTTGAACAGCTTTAATTCTTACACTCCTGAACAATGTGCAATATTCTACGAAGGTCAATAAAAACTTGCTTTCATAATAGTACAGGTAACTGCAGTAAGATTATTTAAATAACGTGGTGGTGGGGATGCACGGAGCGCTTCATAATCATGCAACATGGCGAGAAGTAGCTGCCATCTATCAGGATGTCACATGACATTGTGCTATCAGCAGTGAGGCTTTTGTTGTACACTTTTTTGTGACTGCTAATGGGTGCGTATGAGATTTCTCAGGAACTGGATGAAAAGATCAAATTCTGTGCCAGTTAGCAGCCGGATATGGACCTACCTTCATGACAAGAGGAGACTCTGCAGCTACCACCAAGAGCAGAAACAACAGTTTTCAGTGGACGAGCCAACAGCCTCCAAAGTGTGTGGAGCACACCAGGAGAGTGCTTGTTGTTTTCTTCAACATTCACGTGCACAGAGGATTACTCCTCAGGATGCAGCGATCGAGGCAGAATTCTGCTGTAACATCGGGAGGTTTCAGAGCAAATTGTGATGCAACGTCATGTGAGTGCTGCAATGTGATGCGTGCTCCATCACACTATTACGCACGTTTTTTTTCTTTTTTTAGCAACAGCAGTACATTGGTCATTACCCCCCCACAGTGCTACTCACTAGGTTTATCTCCCAGTGACTTCTTGGTTCTCCCCTCACTGCTCTTTCAGAGAGCATTACAAGCATTGACAAAGCAGGAGCACCAACACAAGCAAGACAAGGTGGTACAAGGTGGCTACATGAGCATAAAGGCCAAATATAAATCAGTCCCATCCATCCATCATCTATACACCGCTTAATCCTCACTAGGGTCACGGGGGGCTGGAGTCTATCCCAGCTGACTTAGGGTGAAGGCAGGGGACACCCTGGACAGGTCACCAGTCTAGGAAGCTGGAGAACCCGGAGAGAACCCACGCTGCACGGGGAGAACATGCAAAATCCACGCAGAAAGATCCCGGGTGTCCTCACCGGGACGCGAACCGGCGACCTTCTTGCTGTGAGGCAATGATGCTAACCACTGAGCCACCTTGCAGCCCCAAATATAAATCGGTTCCATATTTAACTTTTTACAGGCGCAGTCTCGTAACTTTCTCAATTCATTTATGTTGAATATTTCTGCATAAAAAAGCCTTATTAAACATTACATCACTAGACTGTAACTAGCTAACTGAAGGCTAATGCCAGCTTACCAAGACAATAATGCACTGATAAGTTAAACTCGTGCTTTTCTTAGTTTAAAATAGAAAAAAAATCAAACTTACCTTCTCCACATCGCTGAGAGATGGTTTGAGTTTGAAGAAGTTGTGACAAATTAATACACATTATTTTCTGTGGAAGAGCTCTGAAATGTTTTCGCTGTTTAAGTTACACCAAAAAAGTTGAATATATCACGTTGAAGAAGGGTTTTCTGTATGTCCTATATGTTTGGGCAGGAAAGTCGGCAAGTGGGCACGCTAATAAAATATTGAATTGGAATGTTTGAAATCTGCAAAAATGTCGATCAAAGCAGATTTTCATACTTGAACCATGTTTCTGATCATAACTCTGTTAATTTGGGAACGTCTGCTGTTAGGTACGTGTCGGCATACTCGGTTGCAGATATGACTTCCCCTAAACAGAGAATAAACGGCACAAAGCAGTGACCTCAGATTCCCACAGAGCCCCTTACAAAAAAAAAAAAAACACAAGTGATGCATTCATAAGACTTCTGCGGGTCTAGAAAGAATGTAGTCCAGAGAGGCAATTCCCTCCAGCACCCTCCAGTTTTAAAGAGCTGATTCATGGTACAGTGGCCAGGATGGAATCCGCATTGCTTCAGCACAAAACAAGGTCTGGCTATTGGTCGGACTCTCCTTTTCATCACCCTGACCTTCCCAGTGAGGCTGGGCAGTGTGATACCCCACCTCTGGTCGTTCTTTTTAATTAACCACCACTGCCCCTGACCTCCATGCAACATCGAAAAGGCGTGCCAGCTGAGATAACCTTAAAATATCCAAAGCCTTAAGCGTTTCTGTGAATCTCACCCTGCCGCGGCACCACTGAGCGTTTGGACCACCTCCCACAAAGGAAGTCGACAACCCTTTCCCTTTGCCCCTCAAACTCTTCCTCCTGCATGTCAGACGAGGCAAAAGCTATTAGTCCTAAAGAGATGTCACTGCTCATTCAGTAGACTTCATCGGTTCTATTGATTTATGGATCCTCGCAGGCTTTGTCAACCTGCTGTTTTCACACATTGATATCACATGGAAGTGAGTGAGGTCACATGACAGTCATGGGAGAGTCCTCGAAAGACTTACATCTAGTAAAAGTCTAATATAGACTCTAACAATGAGACTGTAAATTACATACAAGAGCTGTTTAGGGAGAGTTGTTTTCTTCAAACCTGCCCTGAATGTGTCCCTTATTATTTCTGAGACCTTGACTTCAGCATTCTTTTCCATATTCTTCACTGTCGAGTACGTGTTGTTTGTCCTTGCTTGAACTGGATTGCAGGTTATTATTGTTGTGCTTGTATTTGGTTTTATCCTCACAAGGATATCTGTAAGAGTATCGCCGGGTTTTAAACGCATTACTGTGTTTGTAGAAGATCCCCCTTTAGATTCTTGGACACTTTTTTCATATATTGTCCGTGTTATTAAAGCTGCTCTGTTTTCCTCGATTCTCTTGAGTTTTTATTTTTTGTACTAGATATTACTACTGTATTGGTTTTTAAAGCTTTTCTGGAAAAGCTTTGCTCACAGTGCTGTCATGAAATCTGAAAGAGGTGATTTCCAACCATTTCACACCTTAATCCGTTGGACTTTGTGACTCACGCATCGCTGTCATGTGGTTTTAAATGACTCATATTTGGCCTTAATGATTCTCATGTGATTTTTGAAGTGTGACTGGTCCAAAGAGGTTTACGTACCCAAGAATCTTCACTTGTGAGTCGACTGATTTTGATTTAAACAGAAGCTCCGGTTGCCTTGATTTCAGTCAATCCAAATGGCCTATTATCTCTCTATTGGAGGCTGATTTTTTTTTAAAATATTGCAGGGAAATATGTCGATTTATCCTCCCCAAATTGTACATCTATTCATGTGAAGGGGATGCTCTGTTGCTGGGTGCGAATCCATGGACAACAGGATGAGAATCAGCACCACCGAGTCTATTGGATTTGGCTGGAAAACACTATATTGCGCCCTTTAAGCTGTGAGTGCTTCAAGTGAAGGAGCATCTCAAGGCCTTCTTTACAACTCAGATTAAGATAGAGAGCGTGAGATCGACAGGAGGATCAGTGTAACAGTGGCAGCGATGTGGGCAATGTACTGAACGTCTGGCTGAGCCGGAATTTTTATGTGTGATTTTTTTTTTTTCCCTTCAGCTCTCAGCTACGCTCGCAAGCTGCAGAAAATATTCCAGAACACGAGATTGTTGGTTACAAGCAGCCAACATCAGTTTCATTTACATGGTGTGGTGATACGGCTGGGAGGCTGAATATTTAGAGAGAGCGGTGGAAGTGCTGCGTCTTTGTAGTGAAGGCGCCAGCTGGGATGGGCTTTTTATTCGGAGGTTCACAGATTTGGAGTTTCAGGAAACGGCTGATAAAGTCGTGTCGGATTTCTATATGTACTCTGCAGCTTAAATCTATTTGCACACTATTAGAATCTGCCTCGTTATTGCTTGTTGTGTGTACAATGAGCCCATTTTGAATTACTCACTAGAAACACAATTTCCATTTTGTGCCGCAGGAGCCTAGTTGGAATAATTCACCATGTAATCAGTAAAAAAGAGTAAAATGACAGTAACCATAGTGATGGAGACATTTCTAAATAAAACATTATTATGTTGTCCAATGTGCGATACACAAATCAGTCGGAGAATGAGCTGTACAAAGATGTGTCTGTGTGTTGTGTGTCTGTGTCTCTCTGCTGAGTGAATAGTAATTACCGTCTCTGGTTTGGGGCCTTGAAGGCATGTTGAATTTAGTTTATGGTATGTTCAAGATGGCAGCTCGGGGAAAGAGGGATTACTCTGCCAGGCTCGGTATTGCGCGATTTGACGCCTGGCAGCCCATAACCTGCTGTCAACAGGGATCATAATTAGCCCCCCTATGTTAGACTATGTGAAAAGGTTCTCCCTGATCATTTAGAAAATATATATTTCTTTTTGAAAGGCAGAGACGTGTCAAAGTCCTCGCTCTGCCAGTGTAATAGTTCTGGCATTTTGCTTTAAAAACGTGATAACCTGAAAGAGATTTCTTTTTTTGCAAAAGTGCCAGCTCCCATTTTTATTATCTGTTCTCTCTCTTCCAATATCTGCACATAGCCAAGTCCAACAGCACGCCGGTTCAGTACAAAATGGTTCGCACCAGCCTCTAAACCTCATTCAAACCAAGTACAGCATCAAATGTCAGTTTAATGCCCCTGCTGTTACTTAAGCCAAAAAACACAAAGGCACGTTAAGGTCATGCTTAAGTGCGATGCGTGCATGCAGTCAAGACTCTTTGTCTCTTTGACTCTTCTAATCTAAAGTCACATCATGTGTTTATCTGTCTCATTTACCCACAGGTTCCCTCGCTGAAGCACCGTCACAAGCAATCAACTCTGATTAGCAATGTTAGCAACAAACACGGGGGGCACACATGCGATGCACACGCACACACGTATGCATGCGTGCACACTCTTAAATGCACACACACACACACACACACACACACACACACACACATGCAGTACAGCACGAGCCGAATGTCAGTGCCTTGGAGGAATTCATACTGAGTGAAGTGGATAGCTGAGCTCCGGTCAGAGAGGAGATGCTGAGTGCCTCCAATCAGAGAGAAGCAGGAATGTCTCACTGACATTTACACCTCCTGACACACATCCAAATACAGAATGAGAAATGCGCTATATGCTGCTCTCCCAAAAGACATAAAGCAGACATAAATTATTAAAACATTTTCAAGAAAATAAGGTTACGTGAGCAGACCGTGGCGCATTGTGTTGCTGTACATGTAAACCCTATTGTACTGGCAAACTAAATAATGCACCGTTTTTTTTAAGAATAACAGAAGCTGGCAGCATGTTTGGAAGTTACACTGTGCATGAGAGCGCAGAAAATCTCCAGTGCTTAATTAGTGTCTACTAGATGTAGAGGGCCGTTAACTCAATTCCATCCCTCCACTGATGATGATGCTGCCTTTTGGTGAAGAAGTGAGGAAGTCTTGGTATAGGGGGCGCATTATGAAAGCTGTAAAAATGTGACAAATGCATAAGATGCAGCGTAATATTCTGCATTGTGTAATGATTTTTTAGCGTAATTATTTAACTGATTGTTTAACTGATACAAAATTCCAAGACAACAAAGACAAAATAGTCCTACAGCAGTGCTTTTTAGGTGCTGTTACAGGAAGTAAAGTGTATATCGGCCTCATGCCTCAAAGAAATAGGTGTCCGTTTAATACTCACTTTGATCTGACTTTGTTGGGGACGTGGGGCTTATCTTCTCCGTGGAGTTGTCACTCCCCTCATCCACCACGTAATCAAAATTTAAGATAAACATCATCACCACGCCCTCTTCGTTCTTCACCGGGATTACGTGAATGTTACACTGAAAGTCGGTCCCTGAAAGAGAAAACAAAGGGTGAGTGTGAATGGGAACAAAAAAAAACAGCTGACTCATAAATTTGTCCTTCTTTGCTTATCATCTCTCCGAGGGTTAACAGTCTGTGTGAAGGAGGTTCATCAACGAGGACTATCGCAATCAGATAAGACGCTGCAGTGGCCATTATTTAGAATGTTAATTAAAAGGAAATGTGGAAATGACCAACACCTTCCTCTGAGGTCACCTAATCTGTTGTTACTCCCTGGGTGTCTGAGAGATATGCACAGTATTTAATGCTGATAGGTGTGTAGGGTTTTTTTTGGTTTCAAATAGCTTTATAGGGATGCTGGAGGAGAAACGGTGAGTTTAACCCAGAACTCACAGGACTTTCATTTACTTTTGTTTAGGGATGCACGATATATCGGCGACCTCATCGGTATCGGCCGATATTAGTGTTTTTTCCGATATATTGGAATCAGTCCGATTAACAAATTCAGCCGATGATTGTCTGACATTAGCGCCTTCGTCTCTACATTTGATATTGCTGCTATTTCACAGATGCTTTTACTTTAGTGGTCCTGGACTTGAATGTTAAATATGTTAAAATATGTTTAAATATGTTTTAGTTTTGTTACGTAATAAAGAAGATTATGTGGTCTAGGGCTGGACCCGAATCAGGATATCAATTTTGACGTACAAATATCCCCCCCAACCGCCGCCGCCTGCCCGCCGCCACTGACGCCACTGACGGCGGATACAGTGCTGTGACCACTGATGGGGGAAATGACCGCTCAACTCTAACCCCTCAGACCGAATGCTCAGCACCCCATCCCACACCCCCCCATCCCCCCGACAGCCGCCATGGAAACGGTACTGTAACCGCTAACCTAAACACCTAAACTGGTCTCAGTAGCCAAATGCTGCCTGTGCGCCCCAGCCCACCCCCCGTCGGAACTCAAACTCACCTGCCATACCCCTATTTGGGATATTCGTCGTTAATTGGGCTGAATACTGGAGAACAGAAAATGCTATCCGGACCAGCCCTAATGTGGTCCAATTTGGGCTTCTTTCGAATAGTTTTCACATTCTCACACTTATACTCCTTTTTTGGTGTGAACAAAAATTGAATATCGACATCGATAATATCGGTTATCGGCGATATCAGAAATCTTAATATCGGTATCAGCCAGAAATTTTAATATCGTGCATCACTTCTTTTGTTGTATTGTGTGCCCTAGGTCTTGTTTAGGTTTTGATTGTCAGCGGTTGTAGTTTAGACGCTTAAACTACTTGGTTAAGTTGAGGAAAATATCATGCTGTGGGTTAAAACGCACCCTTTTACAACACAAACGCTGCAAATTTCTCGTTACCTGAAAAGGAGCGACAGCGGCGACACCAGTGAAGAACGTCTGCGTACTAACAGCATCTGTTTCTGATGTTCTCATGCTATTAAAGTCTATCAGACTACCCTGCGCTTTGAAAAATGACGCTAAAGGTTACCCAGTGCGTTGCAAAGCGACGCCGAGGGGACCTGACAAAGCGGCAGTATGTGACGAGTTGGGAGCGCGACCAGGCTCCTTCACGTGATTGTTGGGGAAACCGAGGAGAAGCTGAATCAATTTAAAGGTCAATGCCTGCATGTCAGAACAAATAAAATAATTAAGATGAAATAAGCACGCCCAGAGGTTAAAATTTATGTATGTGGGTCCTCATGTGTGTCGCGTGCCTCCTTCTGCCATGTCGCGTGCGTATTTTAATGAGAAATAAATAGCATAGAAAGAAATAAGCTGGCAGACGTTGGGTCGATATAAAGCGAGGCCACAGTATAGTTTTGACAGCATGGTTTAGTACAACAGATCTAACAGGCAGCGCAGATTACAGCCAATTTAGGGGATTGCGATGTGTGCATAGGAATAATCACTAAAAATAAGCGTCGTGTGCGGCAGTGGAGCTGAAACCCACGAATATCACAATAGCTGTGTTAGCAAAAGCTATTGATGCCTGCAGGCATAACTGCCCACCAATAAAACTCTCTACCCACTGGACTCTACACAATAACACAATAGCTACTTTACAGCTAAGATGACATACAGTATCAGTGACAGCTCTGCTGGGGGAAAAGCTATCTTGACTGTTTCTTCTGAAACTGCAGTTTCCAGCACATAATGAAGAACATTACACACAGGCGTTATAAGAAAGGTAGCACCATTCGGAAATGAGCGATAAAATCGAAAATGTCAAATAGTGAAACAATGCCTTTGTCTCTCCATATAAGTGTGTCCGTCATCTGGCTTGTTGTGCCGCACACAGAGGACATATATTACCAGTGTTCACTGTAATCTCCTCAGGGCTCACAGACACCCTGCCAGCAGCATTCATTAGCAGTAGACTTGCTGTCTGACTAAATATAACAAGCTTGGTCTGCCTCAACATGCCAGAGTTCTGTTGGAAGGATTCCTGCATCAAAACTCCCAGAAGTGATGTGGTATTGTCACCAGTGGAAATATGATAATGTGATTTTAATAAAATGGAAAACATCAAAAATATGCGACGCGGTTTTGGAGAATAGGTAGACTTCAGGGTTTCAAGGGTATCGAGCGAATCGATGGGAATAAATAGCACAGCGCCCAGTCGCACATGCAGTATGTGGATAATCAGACCAGCAGGTGTGGACTACACACCCATCTTTTCTGGTGTCATGGGTGCCTGGTTGTGTTACATTGCAAAGTAGGAGAGCAGTGCTTAGAGAGCAGGGGGAACTGCTCTCTAAGCAGTAAATCCCCTTTTCAAAAAAAGCACTTTCCTGCATTTCCCAGAAATCCTTCACCTAATTCTACATTGTCCCTTCTGTAAAAAGGGAACATTTTTGGGACAGACTTTGATCTGTTTGATTAAACACCAAGGACATTTTTTCAGAGAGAAGGGACAAGCAAATGAACGAGAGAGTTAGTCCAAATTAATTTTTCTGATAAATCTTGAATAAATTAAAAAATAGTTTGCTAAAAGTGGTCGCTGTAAAAGTGCACTCTGACTGATGTTTTAATGCAGTTCTCTTTATTTTAAAGCAGACAGTGGAGAGACTACAGGACTTGTGTGCAACGAAATCCTCCAGCCAGAATGTGATCATGGTGCTGAATATCTTGTGTGTCTTAACTATCGGTAAATCTTACTTTCTCAGTTTCTTACCTTTCTCAGTTTTAAGTCCACATTTATTAATAACAGCAGGACACATTTGTCATATTGTCTGATTTCTAACCACATTTCATGGGGTGTACGTGTGCAAATAGCTTCTTTCTTCTGAGTGCAGAATATATTACAAAAGGTAAGACCAACAGCATTGTTAGAAATGTGAGAATCATGTTACTATTGAGGTAAACAACAATATATGTGGGGAAAATGTTTGGAATTTTTTATATGCCGGTTGCAAATGCATTCGAAATCATGTATTGGACGTTATATCCTTGTGCACTGAGCGAGGTAGAGGTTTTGTTTCTTGTAGGCTTTTCTTTTGTTGTATTTTGCCTTTATTAGACCGTTGCAGTCGAGCTCCACAACAAGCATGTGGACAAAGAGCAGGGGAATGACACGCAGCAAAGGTCGAGTGGAACCAGGGACTCAGCTGTGGAGGGCATTTTCCCTCGTGCGCCCGAACCACTCAGCCATCAGGTCACTCGGTTATCCAAGCTTTCCTGAGTAGCAATATGAACTGTCCATTAAATATGAATCGCTTCAGTTCGCTGAATGCAGCAGTGAGCATATAAATTAAAAATACGCCTCTCTTCACAGCGGCGGGGTTTCCCTGATACATGTTAGCATGCCGGCTTGTAAACATGCTGTCGTCATGCTAGTTTTTCTTTATGTTAGACAAAGCAAACGTCTGATGTCCTTTAACAGAAAAATGACGCAGCTACAGAGTGAGGTCCTGTTTGTAGGAAAAAAAAATAGCAAAGAAATGCTTTAAAATATCTGGAAACCTGAGATAATACACAGACTCCTTATATTATTATTATTTATTAGTAGTATTTGTTAATAAGAGTGGAGGTCTGGTGTACATCACACAGAGCTGATGCAGTGTGTGCAGCCAAGATGTTAAATTCAGCAGAAATTTTTCTGGCCAGGAGTTTACCTTAGCAGAAGGGGAAACAATGGTCATGCTTAAAGGCTAAGCCGTGGGGGTCCCTTCTCATCTGGTCTCCTGCTGAATGTCACCTCTACCAAAATGGATCAAAAGGAAGCTTCTTCTATCTGGTACCTTAAATCAGCAGAGACAGCGCAGCACTAAATTTGATCTAATAATACACTTTAATGAGCACTGTGTGGTTTTATTTTTTTTGTAAACCTGACTATGCGCCTACATCGCTGTTATTCTGGTAAACAAAAACTTTCTGTGGGAAGAGAAGGGAGCGCTGTTCTTCCTTTCACCTTTCCTGCACCATGTGAGAGTCACTCATGATGTGGAGAACGGCGCCGCTGATTAGGAACAACTGCGGTATTCATCTGCTTTTTTTGACTTCAAGCGAAGTACAAGCGGTCGACAGAAGGAATTTCCGTGACGCAATTTGAGTCAAAGCTCACTTCGTTTTATTGCTCTTTCTGAATAGTCCTTTAACTGAAATAAACTTGGGTTATCCCCTAATTTAAAACGCCAGAAGCATTCTGAGAGCTTGTGTAAACAAACTGATTGTTAGATAATGTGGGACCTTGTTAAACTGTTTGATGTTACATGATGATAAAAGAAACCCTTTAATCAAAATCAAACATTACATTTTAGGTTAAAGTCGAGCCATAGAATAAATATTTGATCTGAATTCATATGAAGAGATTCTGTTGTCACCCAAAGTGTCACAATAAACAAACTGCCAGACAGTTTTAATGCGTAGAGATGTTTTTTGTTTTTTTTGTCAGAATAATTGAAGGAAGGATTTTAGATTTCTAATTTGACCTATTTGCCAGCCATTTTGATACTACTGCGTTCTATATTTGGAGCAAAAAGTCACAGAACGGGGAAAGCTTTGGCGAA